TATGTGGCCTGGCCTGGAGGACCAGATCAATTGGGCTAATAAAGAACTTTCGACGGATTAGAATAACCCCAAACCCAGGGAAAATTAATATAAAAAAAAAAAAAAATGCATGGCGAACCATGTAGAATAAAGTTGAAGAAAGGTATAATGAAAAGACGAAGTCCAAAGGAAATGATCACAATATTCGTCTCCTCCTTAACTTGGACATGGTGCCATTCTCTAATCAATATAAACATGAATCACATTGTAATAAGCCAAAAAACCGAGATGAAGAAATATTATGGATATTACGAGAACACCACCACATTCAAAAAATTCTGGCAGGAAGAAATTGCTCGTCCCATACCTTTTTTTCAAGAGAAGCTGTTTCTGCTTTCTGATATTCGTGCTTTCGATTGTCTTCATGTTAGGATTGGCAGCAATTATCATTTTCTTCGTCTTGAAGCCCCAAAAGCCTCTCTTTTCTGTTGAAACAGCGAAAATAGAATCCTACAAACTCGACGTGGTGTCCAACAAAGATCTCTTTGTTTCATCTTCTCTTTCTTTAACCTTAAACGCCGCAAATCCTAACAGGGTTGGCATAAGTTATAGCACTTCACGACTTCATGTCCTCGAAAATGGAATGGTCATCGGAATGATCAAGGTTCCGCGGCTTCACCAACCTCCTCGGAGCCAAAATGTAAGCGTGCAAGCTAAAGTAATACTTGAATGCGTCAACTTAAGTGAAATTACATCCCGGAAGTCGATGCAAGAGGGGTCAAGAAACGCTACTAGCATTTCCCAAATCAGAATAGTAGGTGACATTAGAGCTCAAGTCCGAATACTTCATGTTACCTTGCCAAAGCTCAGGGTTTGTATTTTCTCAGTAACTACCACGTTTTTTTCCCCATAAAATACTGGTTCAAGTTTCCAGCATCCAATTGAGCAGTGCGATTACCATACTAGCTTGCTTGCTGCTCGATGCACGGATTGCATGCACACAACTTTAGGAACCACAACTTTTCCCCCCCGCATCAATTGATTAATTAATGCCGTTACTTTTTTTAATTGTTGCAGATAGCCCTGGACTGTGACATAAAAATCGATCCTAAACATCTTACGTTCAATCACGACATGACCATGATCAGTAGCATTAAAGATGGAAAAGTTGCTACTGATGTGGTAAGCCTCTCCATTTTGTTATGGTTATAGAGAGCACTTTGAAATGCATGCATGAACTTCATAATTTAGTTTAGCTGCGCTTCTCTCCTCCATAAAATTTCCAGATTTCTCTTCCTACCGTATCCCAGCTCTTCTCCAACAAGTGCTCCCTCGCACTGTACATTTAGCCGACCGGGGTTAATGCATCAAACCTGATTTTCCTCAAAATTAATTCTACATATGACGACGATCATGGTTTGTCCTGGAGGAAGGAAGGGGGAGCCGGAAGAACCACAAATGTTTTATCAGAGAGCCTTTCAAGCCAATGCCTCCTGGAATACTATTACATGGTACTACTTAACTTGCCATGTTTGACTTTTGGGAGGTGATGCGACTGCCAAGAGCACGATCCGAACTGGGAAGCAGAGAGCCGAGCGAACTGCAGGTGAGTGAACTAGTAGTAGCGAGGTGAGCGAATTGACCTACAAGAGAAACTAATGGCGGAGCTAGTTCTCCGGTGTAGCTCCGACGGTCAAATCAATAAGAGTTTAAGGGTAGAGCAACAGTGTAAATACTGTAGACGGCGTACCTTGTCTTGGTCCATTGTGTTGTATTTATAGAGTTCCTCCTGCTAGTAGTTTCCTTATAGGAGTATGAGTCCTAATAGAGAGGGAGTCTTTCTAGGGCTCTGTCTGCTAGCTCCGAAAGGTTTAGGAGCCACGGCCCACCAGGCCCATCCAACTGGGAAGCGACAGCCATGCACGAACTGTTGTCCCTCCTGCTCGAACTCTCTGTCCGAACTGCCAGGTCATCATGACCAAGCTGACACGTGGCTCCGGTGAATTGGCCCCACTATAGGAGGGGCTAGCTCTTTTTCTAAATGCTTTTTCTTTTATTCTCATTGAGAATTTTCATATATTGTTTCGTCATTGTAATATCACTAAAATGAAAATTTTTTTGGTATCAGCTTGAAATTTATTTAGAAAATTTTGGAACTATAAATATTCAATGTATATGCTTTGGTGGTTTTTTTTTTTTTTTTTGGTCCTGGACCAATATGTATGCGCTTAAATTTATGTAGACCGAGATTTAGCAGATCAAGAGACGATTGGGATGTTGCATTCATAAGAGGCGGTCAGTAAAAAAAAAAATTGTTTTATGAAGCTTGATCCATCAATAGGCAGCCCTCGTAACCCATGTCTTGCGTGGCCCAAAATGTAATTACCATGGTCTCGGGTCCAGTGCCAACGTAACTAGAGTGGAGCAAATCTCAGAATTGCACATCTCCCTTTTTTTTTTCCCCCAAACTTTTAGGACTCGCTCAATCTCTGAGAATGAAGCTACGTATGTATGGTTTTTGAAATTATGTTCTGACTGGACTCGTGATAGTAATCGAAATCAAACTCTTCTAGGTTTTTTTTTTATAAAAAAAAATAGAATTGCACATTTCTTTCTATTATTGTCCTTATTTGCAATTTAACAAAAGCATTGTATCTTACAAATAAAAATAGAAAGAAACAGAAAAACAGTACAACCGTAATTTGCAAGACGATATTTGATATCAATTCGTTAAGTGGAATGGTATTCAATGACTAAAATCAGCACAATACAACCGTAATTATGTGATGTGCAAATGTTATATATTGTATTGTTGGTGGAGTTTGGCTTGCCAAATTTTCTTTAGTGCTCTAATCAGCCATAATTATTAATTAGCACTAGCTGTTTCATTCTTCTTTTGTTAAGCGCTTATCATAAGAGATTGAACTCTTTTATTTATGACACGCACTGGTGAGTTACAATAATACTTGCGAATACAATCAGGAAAAATCTACAGACTCCAATCCAGAGCAGAGCAAACGAGACCAAATAGTGAAAAAAATATGTTGTGTGAAAAGGGCAAAAAAGTAAGAATCTCCAAAAGCCCTCATCACCAACACAGAGACAAAGATGGAGGGCTTTGTTTTTGGATTTTGATATAACATTTTTTTTTTCGAAGGATTTGATGTAACATATTTGACTTCAGATCTCATAATAACAAAATATTACATTGGTCTTCTTCTGTAACCCAAAAGGTACCCCCAAAGAAGAAGAATCAGTCAAGGAAATAATTACAATGGCCAAGACAATTTGAGGCATACTAAAAACGCTGAGAAAGAAATGAAATGAATCTTGTCACATGCGAACCGCAACAAATTAGTGCCAGAAGGAGTCAAATGTGTACTAATACATTTAACCCACAGGCCACAACATGCAACATTGCAAAACTCTACCAAAATTCCACTGGTATAGCTTTGACTTTTCAAAGTTTGTCGGCTTTTGGGTAAACATGACTTGCAAGCCTTTGAACTCTCCGCTTAATTTACGGATATTTCATCTTACCGGTCAGGTTTTCTCCGACCCCGACGTTTACATAGTCTGACTTTCTAGCGTCCCTAATGAACAAGACATTTTTTTTTTTTTTTTTACTGTGGAGGCTGTAGAGGACCATTCTCGGCTGCTTGTTTTACCGAACTTGAGTCCCCCGGTTTTACCTTTCTACTATTGCTAATGCTATTACTCATCCGGTTTTACTTTTCGATTATTGCTAATGCTATTACTCATGATATTAATTATGAACAATAGTACTATAAAAGATGAGTTAATTTTCAGACTCATTTTTTCCATTGAGACTGAACCTAAATCTGTGCTCCAGAGATAGTTATCCACATACATACATTGATAAGGGATGTATGGATTCTTTGTCGAGAAGAAGAAGGGAGGAGCCATGTTGGTCCCCCTGCCTCACTCTCACATCACAGGTCAGTCGGGCTGGTTGCTAGCCTGCCTTTCTTCTCTATGAGGAAAAAAAAAAAAGGAAGTCACAAGCCGAAATTACATTTGTAGAACGATAATATTAAGAATGAGACCGAGGCTTGGGATATAGATGATTCCCCTAATTCTTCTAAATTTGTAAAGGATGTTAGCTGCACTTAAAAGCCGAGTACTCTACCGTTGAGTTAGCAACCCGAAGAATAGCATTTCTACTTTCTTGTTGACAACTACGCACTTTTTATCTTAAAAGGTATTTTTCTATGGATTAATTTTTCCTACATGTATACACTATCAATCTTGGATAAATGATAACTGTGCAAAATTTGAATTTGATATCCAACTTTTGCACATGCATTATGAATTTAACGGTGATAGTGTATATACTGTCAGCGTATGTAATTAAGATTTGCCATTTTTCTATACTTATTTCTAAATTTTGAAATATTTTCACCTTATAAAATAGGCATCCAGCACAGACAATATTATTTAAAATCTCTAGCGTTAGTGTTTTGTGTTTGGTGATTTTCAAATTCACAACACATTCTTATTTCCATCGCGTTTTGAATGCGTCAATTACTCACTAACAATTTCCATCGCATTGTGATTTTCAAACTCGCTGACATTTTCTTTCGTGGAAGGAGCTAAATCTGCACATTTCCACTCTAAATCGACACATTGTACGAGCATTGGTACTAATAATATAAGTTATGAAAGCATAGAAGTGATCGAGGAGATGGGAAAATGAATTTAGCATGTCTCTTTATTCATAACCAAAATACATACATAGATAAACTACAACAAAAAAAATGCTTATTTGCCCTTTTTATTTCTTTGGTAAAGAACAATTTAGATGATTTTGATTCTGATCACCACTCAAGACCATGACATAACATGCTCTTGGACCATGAATTACTGATAAAAAAAATTTATAAATTACTTGCCAACACAACTCTCCTACTCGCACTTGACCATGCATGCTTTTTTTTTTCTTTCTCTACCCACAGTGGCAAAATAATAATAATAATAATAAAAATGGCCCACATCTGAACTTGCACTGCGTGACTTGCTACTGTTTAACACCGTGGCATGTGAAAAATGAAAATGGATCCCTCAGTATAAGACTGCGGTGACAAATTTTTTGTGCTGCTGCTCTTTACATACTATACTAGTGCTACTGATCAAAGACTAAACGTGCACTTTTTTAGTGAAAAATGCAACCAATTTCAAGTTGGTGGTAAATTAAGACATCTGCACCCTTGCAGCCATGGCTGCACATAGACTGGGCTGTTTCTTCATCCTGCAAATTCCGGTTGCGGTGCTGCTGGTGTTAGATGGAATTGCAGCTGCAGCGGGCAGTGAATACCGCGGGAAGCCCCAAAAGAAGCCCGGTGGTGGTGGACCTGGCGGAACAGCTGCCACTGCTCTCTTCTTCTTTGGCGACTCTTACTTTGATGCAGGCAACAACAACTACATTAACACCACTACACTTGACCAGGCAAATTTTTGGCCCTACGGGGAATCCTACTTCAGCTTCCCAACCGGAAGATTTTCCAACGGCCGTTTAATATCAGATTTTATTGGTAAGATATCAGATTTTTCTAATACTCCTGAGTCAAGACTGATCAATTGTATATCTCATGCAACGAGTCTCTTATTGAGTAGTTTTAGTGCTTACTGTTGTTGCATCTTACTAAATGTTTTTTTTTTCCTTTTCTTTTCTTGGTCCTAGCCGAATATGCGAAACTGCCACTGATTCCGCCGTTTCTGCAGCCGGGAAACCAAGAATACCGGAATGGAGTAAACTTCGCATCGGCTGGAGCGGGCGCTTTGGATGAGACCTTTCGGGGAGCGGTAATGTATTCAATTCACACCTTTCATGCAAACAAATGTCTTTTCACTTTCATCTTCATACATATACATGCTGCTGCCAAAATGCCACCATACTCTTATTGGTGTTAGGTTTCTAACAGCGACGGCTATCACAATTTTGCGCTAACTACTAAATTTACAATTGAAGCTGCATGTTTGCCTTATTCATCAATCTGTTTATCACTCTGTCTGTGTGTCTTTTCTGGTGGAAACATATGAAAAAGACGAACTTGCTAGCCGTCACCCTCTTGTCACTGCTGCTATTCGATTAGACTCGAAGTAGTCTTCTTCGGATAGTGGTAGCTTATGGTAACAATACGAAAGTTGGGATTGATTCATTTGCTGCACTAAATTACCGGCGGATAGGCAAAAGCAAGAAAAAATGTTTTTCTTGCTACAATATATGTAATTGGCATATAAGGGCATGTATAGGTGGGGACATCATCATCAAATATCCGTAATTCAGGTGGCAAAGCTTGATGAGTGAGTAGGTTAGGTTCGGTTCCATTTGTGCATTTTCACCTTTTCTTCCCGAGTGTGTGTGTGTGTGTGTGTGGTGTTGTTGGACTGCCTACCTCTGAAGCGGGGCCCTTGATAGCAAATTTCGGACGGGATTGTTGCCAAGATCAGGCCAGGCCCAATATACAAAAAACAGAGTAGTCTCTTGGACATCCGAGGAAAAATGTCCTCTCTCTCTCTCTCTCCACACCACATGGAGGTGGTCCACGGAGTTTCTGAAGAGTAACCATTCCAGGTTCGGCTTTTTCCAGGAAAGCACCTCTTCCATTCAAACGCTGCGCTTGTCTCATTGTTACGTTAATTTCAACCGGTCTCTTTTCCCGTGCCCCATTGATGAGTTTGCGCCATGCTGGGGACGGATGGACTTGGGATCTCTCCGGCTGAACTTTGGTCCACCTCCGTTGAGTTGCATAAACTGATGTAAACATGAATTTTGTGAATTCATATAATTAAATCACAATTGCATTAGAGTCACGTGAATTAATACCAAAAGTTATAAGAATTACGTTAATTGGACAAAATCAATAATCAACTGAACAGACCCCCTTGTGCAGCAGACGGCTCTTCTTCTTTCATTGATTTTTAGCTTTCGCTGTTGTCCACAGAGCAGAAATTGAAGTGATGTTAGTAGTCCAAACTTTTGGTTTCCACCGAGTTGGTCCTTTTGGTACTGCAGAACTCTCTTCATGCATGCACGTGTTGGGTTTCTTTTGTGGGAGTTGGATTTGTTGGTCTGACCAATATTAGACAGTCTAGAAAATAATTATGGTTGGACTTGGATTGGTCTTTTTATCTTCTCCCTCCTAACTTCCTTTTTTGTAAGACGTTCATATTTCAGGTGATTGGCCTCAGGACGCAGTTACGATACTACACCAAGGTGAAAGCATGGTTAAGACACGAGTTAGGGGACGTGGAATCCAACATGATACTATCAAGAGCTGTGTATTTGTTTAGCATTGGGACGAATGACTACACAAGCACTTTCCTTACCAATTCTACCATGCTGGCCAACTCCGGTTCTCCTTCAAATTACGTAGGGATGGTGATCGGTAACTTGACATCAGTGGTCAAAGTAAGTTGATCCCATCCAATCATTAAAGGATACGTTGCTTTTCAATATAGCTTGGGTTTCTGTATATAATACTCCTATATAAATGTAATATATATGGGTAATGACTGATTGTCCTTTTAGCAGGCAATATACGATAGAGGCGGAAGAAAATTTGGTTTCCTCAATTTAGGGAGCTTGGGTTGTCTACCGGGGCTTAGAATCCTACAATCCCAGACAAAAGGAGATGGCTGCTTCGAAGAAGCTTCAAGGTTAGCAAATTTACATAATCGGGCACTCTACAACTTCTTGTCAAAAATGGAGGATCAATTGCAGGGGTTCAGATATTCAATTTGCGACTTCCATGGTGCTCTAAGACACAGAATGGATCACCCCTCCAGATTTGGTATCCGCTCTCGATCTTCCCCTATATAATATATATATATTGACACAATCAAGATGTGTCCATGCATGCATGCATGCTTGTTTGAGATATGTAAACCAATTAAGTGTCTTATATATGTTATGTCGGTACAAGTGTGCAAGCGTTTCGTGATATCTTTTAATCAAATTGACATTGATTAGTCTACACTTTGGGAACTTTCAATGTAGTAGTAGAGTAGAATGACAAAAAGTAAGCTTTGTCAATGATGGAATGGACAGGATTCGAGGAAGGGAGAGCAGCATGTTGCGGAGCAGGACGATATAAAGGAATATACAGCTGTGGAGGGAAGAGGCCTATGGTGAAGGATTTCGAGCTGTGTGAGAATCCGAAGAGATACGTGTTTTGGGATTCTTATCATCTCACTGAGAGGGTCTACAGGCAGATGGCATCAGAAATGTGGAATGGATCCAGGAGAAGGGGGCGGCCTTACAGTCTCAAGCTCAAGGATTTACTCCGATGCTAAATTCACCACACCAAAATGTTTCTGACTGACTACAATACATATATAGCGTTGTTATGAATGACCCTCTCAATTAATACTATGTTTAGATTACTGATCGAGACAAGATTATTTTGACAAGTATAGTACTCCATGGAGCAATTTACCCAATTTTGTGGAAACGAGTTTACTGTTTATATCCATCTTGATCTCTTCTAATTAAGGTCAAACTGTTGGCTGTCAATTTCATGCAAATGCGGGAAGCTGTAATTGAAAAAACGTGCAAGCAAGAATCTATTTTGTGTACATGTTGCTTTGGTTCATATCGTAGTAGACAACAATACATCTTTTTTACTCTAAACTTTTAATTTCTTTTTGGGGGTAAGGAATTATATATCATGCTGCAATACATATATATATGTATATATATCTCACACTAGCAGCTGTAACTAATCCGTGAGAAAAGAGTTCAAGATGTTTCTCACTTAGTATTTGTTTATTTATTTATTTTCAAGACAACTTACAAAAAATATATATATTTCCTGCAAACAATTTTGTGGTCTGGAATCGATAAAACCTGGCACCCTCCCGTGAAAATAAAATTTAGTCCCACCGTATGGAGGAATTCTTTGACCGATTAGAAACAATAATAAATTTGCCAAGAGGCCACAGAAGGAGACGGGGAACGAGAGAAGAAGACAACAATTACAAATAACGCTGTTGACCAGTACAATGAACCTTGCAGAAATTTGAACCTTGCAGATCAAGTTAATTTCAAAAGACATTGAAGAATACGTCTGAGTTGACTCCGGAATGGTATGCAGTATCTTTATTAATGTTTTAAACCCCCAAAAAAAAAAAATTTTTTTTCCAATCCTTATGTGTATTGGTCTTCTCGTAACTAATGCTACTCGTGAACAAATGCCCTGTCTGGCAAGTGAGTTTTTTGCGTGTTTGTTTAAAACTTTACTGTAATTTACTATAGAAATTTTTAAAAAAATTTTTGAAGTATATTTTTTTATAAATATTTTAAAGTGTATAGTTTAAAATCTTTGAGAAATTTTTTGAGGTTTCTGTAGTTAAAACTTTTAAAAAACTTAGGAAAAAGCTTGTCTGCCAAACAAAGCCGAGATTTCAATTCTCTGTCATTTCACAGGAGATTAACCAAAAGATGCATACATACGCTAGGACCAAAAGATGCTAAACGATGGTTGTTTTTTTTTAATTTATTTATTGCTGTTTGTACCACCACAACTTCGATAATTTAATGCTACAAAAGACTGCGCCTTGAATTTTAAAACATTAACATGTACGATTTGCACATGAGTTCCCTCAACTCAGTGTTGCTTGAGATTAAAAGGTAAAAGTGGGTAGCATGAACAAATTGGAGGGGATAGTGAGGTTATTTAATTTTAACTTTTACAGTTAATCAATGGTGGTTTGGCACCTCTAAAATAACGCTTGGGGATTATTAAAGATGAAAGTCGAAGAAAGTTGAGTTATCACTAATTAGCCTACAGGAATTAAATTTGTGATAACAACGGGCTTAATATAAGGTAGAGAGAACAAAAAGTTCCTGAAAATGGAAAAAGAAAAAAAGACTGCCTCCCGAGTTGAGCAAGTGTTAGAGAGCCCAATTAGCCCAATGCAGCCCACCAACAAAGCCAAACCAGAGAAAGGGGCGGCCCGTGAGGACCATGCCTGCCAATCACGTAAATGGGGAGTAGAGTGGGTCACTCCATAAAAAAACAAGTAAATAAATAAATGAAAAGGAAGTAGTTGATCCCTCTCTTATAAAGAAAGTTTAGATACAGGAAATCTCTGCAAAATTCTGCAAGTAAATAATTAGCATTAGTTTAGATCTAGGAAACCCGCCAAAAAGTTGTGCAAGTTAAAGAAAGTTTAGATACAGGAAATCTTTGCAAAATTCTGCAAGCAAATAATTAGCATTAGTTTAGATTTAGGGAACCCGCCAAAAAGTTGTGCAAGTAATCATGGAATGCAGTATCACTCTAATGAATTCCGCAAGAAATTACGGAATCCACTGTCAATCTTTATATTCTGCATGACAAGTTTAGTAGAATTTCCATGTTAAGCTTTAGGTCGGCTTGTTTCCTCCCTATAAATTCCTGCAATTGCATGCGTCGCCTACCGCGTTCTATTCTCCCTTTGCAGCTTTCTACTCTGTTTCTCTTGTTATTTTTTCACGTAAGTTTTGACAACTTCAATCCTTCTGCTTAAGTAGATCTTCCTTTGTTCTCACTTTTTTTCTTCTTCCCGTTTCTTTTGGGTGATTCTTTGGTCATTGGTTCTCAATTTGCATCGTTGCATGCCTTAAATCAGTGCCTTTATGTAGTTTGTCATAACTTGCAATCTTCTTCTCACAGGATTTTAGCCAAGCCCATGATCATCCAATGGTCATGCATAAACTGGCCCTTCCACTTTTGCTCTTGTGTGTTTAAAGATATTTTGAGAAACAGGGGAAACAATAAATACTATAGTAGTAGATTTTTAGTCAGTTCTATGCATGTGCTTTCAATGCTAATCAAAAGTTGCTGTTTTTACTGTGCAATAACTTGTGTTCTTCGAGATGCTTCTATTATGGGGTTTCCTGTTATTGCTTCTTTATCTCTTAATATAGATTCACATTTTTTGTTGCATAATCTATCAACGCTCAGAAGGGGTAATCATATAGACCAAGTTTATTGTGTCAAGGGCAGTTTTGGTTACCCCGTCCGGTTTCTTGATCTCAGCCTCTAATCACTGGGTCCTTTTTTTAATAAACTTTTTTTTTTCTTTGAACAGTCTATGTCGGATGATTTTGTCAACTTAACATTTTAAAAAAGTTTCTTTTTTTTCCCTATTGAATCCCCTGTGGCCTTCCAATCCTTATTTGCCTTAGTTCTCTGCAGTTTGTTCGTTGCTCAAACTTAGGACCACCATGGCACAAAGCCTCCGCGAACGTATTGATGCTGGCAGCACAGAGATATCATTGTTCCTGTCAAGGTCTATTTCAAATTTTGCCATTGAGTGGTTCAAAATCACTAGATGTTAGAGTAAATATTTGACTACTTATAATTGCTCGTGGTGATTTTCATACTGTAGGATTACAAGCCATGGAAAAGGAATCTTAAAGTCGAATCAGCTTCCGGCTGGATTGGAAGGAACTTGCAACAAATGCGAGTGCAACAACAAACGCGATAATGAATTCAAAGAACTTTTAAAGTCCATACAGGTGAAACTGATTCATACTTAACGTACTGCAACGAGATGAGTCAATCAAGATTTCTGTAAATACATGCCAGATTTGACAAGTTGTTTTACATGTGTGATCAGGAAGCGCTTGTGTTGCCTCCCTTGATTGCGCTTGCAATTCGTTTGAGGCCTGGTGTTTGGGAATATGTTGGTGTCGATGTTAATGACTTTCATGTTGAAGAAATGACTGTAAAGGAATATTTGCATTTCAAGGAGGAGCTGGTGGCCGAAGAGTATGGTTCTTTCCTTTTCCTTGTCACTTCTCAAAGTTAATGATCTAATATGTCCCTCCAATTTGATTTGCTTGAGCATTTTATCTATGCAGCAGTAGTAGCCCTGTCCTTGAGCTGGACTTTGAACCATTCGCTGCATCAGTTCCCAAGCCAACTCTAACGAAGTCGATCGGCAACGGAGCTGAGTTTCTTGGCAAACATATTTCTGCCTCCTTGTTCCATGACAAAGAGAGTATGGCCCCTCTTCTTCTTGAGTTTCTTCGATCCCATCACTACAAGGGCAAGGTAAACTATCACGATCAACCGCATGTGAAATTTAATTGCAATACAAAATGCTAGATTTTCGTTGTGCTTAAATCTAAATAGATACATATATACTTCATGTTTTAAATTTGTTTTTTGCTCTAACATTATTGTACAGACAATGATGCTCAATGATCGGATAAAGAACCTTAATAACCTGCAAGATGTCCTGCAAGAGGCTGTAAAATATCTTACACAGCTACCTCCAAAATCACCATATTCAGAATTTGAAAGCAAGTTTAAAGAAATTGGATTGGAACGAGGGTGGGGCGATACTGCTGAAAGCGTGCTGGAAATGATCTCCATGTTCTTGGATCTTTTTGAGGCTCCTGACTCATCTACCCTTGAGAAATTCCTAGCGAGGGTTCCTACAGTTTTCAACGTTGTCATTCTTTCCCCCCATGGTTACTTTGCACAAGAAAATGTGCTGGGCTATCCTGATACTGGAGGCCAGGTATGTTATTGAGAATAATCTCCTGGCTTTTTGCAACTTAATAATCAATTTTTGGTGGCTTGCACCAGTAAATTACCGTTTCTACATTTTCAGGTCGTTTACATTTTGGATCAAGTACCTGCAATGGAGCGTGAAATGCTTAAAAGAATTAAGGAACAAGGACTTGATATCAAACCGCGTATTCTCATTGTTAGTGTTGCATAAAAGTTGTGAAATTCTGTTTTTATTCTTGATGTCGCATTTCATTAGCAAAACTGAACAAATAAATAAAAACCGATCTGGTTCTCTTTTTTTTTAGGTAACTAGGCTGCTACCTGATGCGGTTGGTACCACTTGTGGACAACGCCTGGAGAAAGTATTTGGAACAGAGCACTCTCATATACTTCGAGTCCCTTTTAGAACAGAGAAGGGTGTACTTCGCCAATGGATCTCTCGCTTTGAAGTTTGGCCATACATCGAGACTTTTACTCAGGTAAGACGTGTCATTTTGTTTTCATTTTCAATCCCCTTGAGTGCGTTTCTTACGATATTAAAATCTGTTTTGACAGGATGTTGCGAAAGAAATTTCTGCAGAACTGGGGGCCGCGAGATTTGATCATTGGTAATTATAGTGAGGGAAACCTTGTTGCCTCCTTGCTTGCTCACCAGTTTGGTGCTACGCAGGTCCGTGCTCTGTTGCTTGTCACTCTCGTTTGTTGTTCTATTTGCATCACCCTGCTTCAAACGGAATTGAACTTTTACTTGGTTTCGCAGTGTACAATTGCTCATGCTTTGGAAAAGACGAAGTACCCTGATTCTGATGTTTACTGGAAAAAATTCGACGAGAAGTATCACTTTTCAAGCCAATTCACTGCTGATCTTATTGCAATGAATCACACAGATTTCATTATCACTAGCACTTTCCAGGAGATTGCTGGAAGGTAAGAGTGCACGTCTTTGCTAAAAATGATCTAGTACT